CCTATAAGAAACATGTTTCGAGTCGTTCAGGTTACTTTATCTTGAAATTCAAATTTTCAGCACGAAATTGTTTGTGTGAATCTCAAAAACTAAGAAATTTCTAGAATTCAAAATCGAGCTACCAAAATTAGATGAATTATACACCATTCGATGCATTTTTTCACGCTGATTCCGAATATAGTATTATATTTGGTGAAAAGTGTGTTGACGAATGAGAAATCTTCGAAATACGCAGAAAAGCTCAGGGATTTTGAAAAATTCGTAATTCGGTTTTAAAAAAACATCGAGAAAAGTCGAATGTACTGTAGATAGAGTAGGTGCTCTGCTTTGCTTTTCTGCCTAATTTTCGCCTGGATGCCCACTGTGCGGCTGCTGTTTCTCCTTATCCCGTACACCGTTATCCCTTTATAGCCTTACCTCTATAATCTTATCTCTTCATCTCATTATCCATATACCGCTTAGTTATTTCTTTATAGTCTTATCCCCATCTCCTTATATTCTGTATGCCCCTATTCTCTTATAACCTTATCCTCTCATGACGCTTGACCTTTAACTTTTGAGCCTTGTTTCCCTTGTGGCTCCTGTAGCCTTATCTCCCTATTGTCTTACCCCTTATTATCTACCTCCTTAGTGCTTCACTCCCATGATGTACAGTGTATACCCTCATATAATAGCCCTTGAGAACCTGTGAGTATCCCCATATAATAGCCCTTGGCGCCTTTCCTTTATAGACATATTTGACATGTGACCTTTAACCTTGAACTTTTGACCTGAGCAGAGAAACACACAGACAGACAGACACTGAACATTATATATATATATATATATAGATTATTCATATTTTGACAGGATTACGACCAGTTATGACAAAATGATTCAATGGTTGCGTGGACTTGAGTGGACACCAGGATTGAAAGCTAAATGGCAAGAATTTTATAACACAGCAGCGCGTACTGTCACTTTAGGTTTCGATCAAATGAAAGACGATGAGTTGCCACGTATACCTGAATATGAAGATTTGAAACCTGAAGAGTGTAGCAAACACACAACTCGATTCAAAACTTCCATTTTGACGACTCCCACGTGTAATTCGGCTACCCATAAAAAAACATTTGTTCTTTTGTCATTAATTCCGTTCATCACGAAGCAAATTCTTTTTTGGTACATCGAATGAGCGTTACTAGTTTAAAAAAGAACTAAAATTAAAGAGCTCTGGTGTCCTTAGTTTTTATTCCTATATTTCAAATCAGAGATCCACAGACAATAGAGAACATATTTATTCATGATATGTTCTTTGTTTACTTTATTTGATACATAAGATGACTAATAAGACCGATTTGGAATAGTTTTATTAATCAAATATTTTTTGATTATAATACATTCATAATTTTAATAAATCAATCGTACAAAAAAAAGAAAATACTAATAAAAATCTATTACATATGCCAAACGTATGAAAAAAGGAAAATTTCAAAAATATTGTTCGATCAATTTTTGAAGTATTCATCAGAATTGAATGTAATTTGGCTTGCTTTATAAACTATATTAGCATTATTAACTGAATTACATCCTTTCAATTGACAACCAAGGACAGCAACATCTATGTCTTCTGTTCGATTACTCAAGACAAAAGTCTTGAAACGTTCAACGAAATTCTCACGAACTTCATCAACCTCGCATGTTGCACAGACATGTTCAATAAGTGATGTTTGTTGACCGACTTCAATTGTACATCTGTGACACCTTCGAAGATCGGGCGGAGGACACCGAAATGTCGTATTATGAAAATATAAACAATCAGCAGCTCTTATATCAAATGGAGAAACAATTTTGAGCAAAGGAGCTACTTCTTGCTGAAATTGATCTTCAACAACAAGTGAACTAAGAAGCTTCTCTAAACCTGCTTGATCATTACATTTATCACTTGAGTCACATTCATAAATGACTTCACGACCTGATGATAGAGTTTGATTATTGCGTTCCATACCCTTCACAATTCTTACCGAAACCACATCGCGTGAAGGAGCATTGATTGCCATTCCTGGTCGACCATGAAATTCCAAAAAAGTTCTGTTAAAATCTAACTCCCAAAAAATCGATGCCCAACAGCGTGAAGCAGTAATTACAGCACAATCGGAAGGAAGCGGTGGTACTGTTGTGCTGGTCATTGTATAGTTGAGTCGAATACCATCACGACAAACATTGCACTGTAATGACGAGATCAAGACAGGTGCAGTTGACAAAAATAGAAGTGCAATTGTTGGGAACATCATGATGGCAACGTTTTATGAAAAAATGTAATGTTGAAGATGTAATATCTTTGGCTTTTATCTACACACCTGAGATAAGAATGGCATAAACAATAAACATCATATTTTCTCTCAAAGTATTTTTAGTTTTGACTTTGTGATAAAAGCATACAACATGTATATACGAAATCTCATAAGAAAAAAGATATTTGTGTAGTATTTGGCCAATCTTAACTAAATATAGTTAAAACTAAAATATAGGTTACAACGGTCTATAACATATTCAACGATATGACATATTATTTTCTCACCGCCTTATCATACTTTATTAAAATCAAACATCTTCAAACGTTAAAAATGGTAGCAAACGAAGGAACGCATAAGAACTTTTGCATGGCCGTTGTACCGTTTGCGTTGAAAAATTACTAAAAATGAAATTTTCTCAATTCGACTGAATTGCACCATTAGAAAGAAGGCACTGAATTACCTATAATCATATAGTTTCCTACTGCCGAGTTCAAAACAGTAGAGTTATAAGCCACGCACGAGATTCCCAGCATATTGGACCTGTTTAGTGCTAATACTCATAAGTAAGCATGCTCAGAATTTCGAACATTCGGAACTCGATTTGACATAGTTCACCTAACAATGCTACGTCTTTTTTCTTGATCAATAAAAAAAAATTCATCAAAAAACGACGGGAAGTCAATTCAACTTCGTCGTCAGGAAAAAGAAATTTATGACAAAGGAATCTCATCACACTAGAAAGCTTTTCACAGCACTCGGGCAGTATAATAATTTGGTTTGCGTTGCTTCACTTGGTATCAATAAACTTTTTCGCGCTTGTGAAAGGTAAGATTATGACCAACAAAGTACCGATGAATTGGATGAAGGACGCAACAAAAGATTCATTATCACACATTTGTTAGTGCCATCGTCCTCCCGCTCTCTGTCGATTAACATGAGCAGTGGCGGAAAAAACAACAATAGCAAAGTTCTCGAAATATCCCCCCCCGAAAAAAAATAGTTTCAGTCGGTATTTCTCATATATTTTCACCATAACAAAATAGTTTTTTAAAAACCAATGAGATATTCTGAAAGTCCGTGGAGTTTTCTGTAACCCTATGTATTTACATTTTGGTTTTCGGTTACGTATCATGGAAAAAAATCGGGTACAGCACAAGCACCCTCAACCCGAGATTCCCCGACACAAAATTCTTTTTGTGTACAATTAGC